ATAAATGGCTCTTTTCGAAGTCCAAGTCTTAGGAATCCGTTTGCCGCGAACTCTGCGCTGCAGGCTGGGGTATGTATGCAAGAGGAACTGATTGAACTCGAACATGATGGCATTGCACGCTTTGTGTACTCTAAGGCAGGGGTTCTCAAACTTTTGGTGTTGCGGAGCCCTTGAAAAGATTAACTATTATTCACGGAGCCCCAAAATAAATGTTAAAATTGTTACTTTCAGATTAATATTCCTGAGCAAGTTAAAAGTACTTTACTTAATTTAAATGCTGAACCTTAGGGTTAATACAAGTCATACATAAATCTAAATTTCAAACATAAATTATATATACACTAAAGCTGTAAATTTGACACTTGACAAACATATTAATAAATAAGGGGGCGAATCTTTTCCCTTTTGACATTTTTGGAAGACTTAAAAGGCCGCCAATAACGTGCGCGATTGCATTTTGTTACAATCGCCGATTTTTTTCGTCAGCATGGCGTGTCTTTGAACCTTTTAACATCTTTACGCCGGTGTTTATTCTCCCTAAATCAAAAATTTCCCTCGGCATATATATATACATGTATTGTTACACAATGACGACGTTATTTGCTTTTTTGTTCTCGTGGGGAATTATGAGTTCAATGTGAAAAACATGTTACCATATTATAGTCATCGGTGACGAAATGCTAAAAATAATAATTAATAAAGAGGTAAATCCGCAACTCAAATTTCTTGATTGAAAAGCGGCATTCTAAAATAATAAAACTGAAACTTAAAATGGAAGATCACAGGTTTGCTTTCAGCATACTCACTTCAGATTGAAAACGTATTTATAGACATTGTAAATCACAAAATTTGGTGTTATGTTAGGTTTTCATCGTAGTAACTGCGAAATCGAAACAGAGTCAATTGTGCGCGCGATGTACCTTTTCCCCCATTATGAAACTACCGACGGAGCCGCACGCAATCAATTGTGCGTGCTCCGCGATGTACCTTTTTTCATTCTGAAACTACCGACCGAGCCGAATGCAATGAAATAAATTTCAATTGTTCGTTAAATGCTCGCATCGGTCATGGATTAAATATTTTACCCAATAGAAATCTCGTTATCCGTTTTTTTAATCGCGAAGAATGTTGCGCGGAAATTTCTGATTCCAATTTTGAACCACCTCCCTCTTAAGAATCCTGGCTGCGCTCCTGCTTATAAATAATGTCATTTTTTAATTCCGCCTTTTTGCCATTTTTCGAGGCTATTTTGTTGTCAGATTTTATCAAAGCTGTTATTGCTTCTTATTAGAACAGTTACAAAACTAGTCAGTATTTTGAAAAGTAATCCAATATCTCGCGGAGCCCCTGGGTTTCTCTCGCGGAGCCCTGGGGCTCCGTACGGAGCACTTTGAGAACCTATGCTCTAAGGCAGGGGTTCTCAAACTTTTTGTGTTGCGGAGCCCTTGAAAAAGTTGACTATTATTCACGGAGCCCCAAAATAAATGTTAAAATTGTTACTTTCCGAATAATATTCCTGAGTAAGTCAAAAGTACTGTACTTATTTTAAATGCTTAACCTCTTTTAATAGGGTTAATACAAGTCATAAATGAATCTAAATGTAAAAGATGAATTATATATACTAAAGCTGTAAACTTGATACTTGACAAACATATTAATAAATTAGGGGTCGGATCTTTTACCTTTAGATATTTTTGAAAGACTTAAAAGGCCGCTAATAACGTACTCGATTGCATTTTGTTACGATCGCCGATTGTTTTCGTCAGCATGGCGGTGTTTATTCTCCCTAAATCAAAAATTTTCCTCGACATATACATGTATGATGTATTGTTCCACAATGACGACGAGTATTGCTTTTTTGTTCTCGTGGGGAATTATGAGTTCAATGTGAAAAACATGTTACCATATTATAGTCACCGGAGACGAAATGCTAAAAATAATAAATAATAAAAGGTAAATCCGCAACTCAAATTTCTTGATTGAAAAGCGGCATACTGAAATATTAAAACTAAAACTTAAAATGGGAGATAACACTATAAGTTTTGTTTCAGCAGACTCACGTCAGATTAAAAACACGTTCATAGACATTGTGAATCAAAAATTTGGTGTTATGTTGGGTTTTCTTTGGTTATTCGTCGTAGTAACTGCGAAACCGAAACACAGTCAATTGTGCGCGCGATGTACCTATTTTTCCATTCTGAAACTACCGACGGAGCCGCATGCAATGAAATAAATTTCAATCTTTCGTATTTTGCCCCGACCTCTTGTTTTTTAAACGGCGACATCTTGCTCGTGAGTGCGAAAGAACAAAATCAAGCTTGACAAATCCCAAGATCGCAAAAATACGACTGCAATTTATGTATAGTTGGCAGTTTTTCGCGTATTTTATGTTATTTCAGAATAGTAGTCTTTCATTTCAGTAATCCTAATAGTAAAATTAGCCAATTCAGTATTTTAAAAAGTAATCGAATAGCTCGCGGAGCCCCTGGGTTTCTCTCACGGAGCCCTGGGGCTCCGTACGGAGCACTTTGAGAACCTATGCTCTAAGGGATATTCAAGTTATTTTTGGTTTACGATTTGCAAGTTGCACAGACGGATTAGGTCGACACTTCCAGGGATACTTGGAATCAAATCAAAATACAGATCACATCTCAAAACATCTGAGCATGATATGCGTTGTGCCGTTACAAATGTTTCACCTCGTATTAATGAGCTTGTTGCAAAAAAAGTCTCATCTATCACATTTTCTATGATTGCAGGGCTTATTTAGTTGATATGTTGTTAGTTTGAATTGCATTGTTATGAATAACTCCGCGTGCTTCGATTAGTACTAATCACACAGCTTTTTTATTAAACTAATAAAATCAAGTTTTTAGGGAGTTTTAGGGGATTGTAATAGGTTGTCTATCTGCTATATAAAAAGAGTGAATGCTTGCATCATCACAAGTTGAGCAGTCAAAAATATGAGACGATTTAGGGGGGTACGCGAGCGAATATAAATTGTCCAAGGGGTACCGATGAACCGGAAGTTTGGGTAACTCTGGTCTAAATGGATTAGAATCACGTGTTCTTTTAAGTGACAAACAGTAGGACTTTTGTAGAAAACGTTCCACGGCCGATTTGTTAACAATATTTCAAAAGCTTTGATAGAGTTTGGCATGTCGGACTCATGCACATGTTCGATTTTATGGTATATATATCTGGTCAAATTTTTGACATTAAATCTTTTCTCTCTGATTGCAAAATCGACGTTGTTCCTGATGGCCAGCGTTCCCGGACATACCCATCTTTTTTGGAGTTCGTCAAGGCTCAATGCTTGATCCTACATTGTTCCTAACATTCATCAATGATATTCCATATTAGCTCATTTGCAATTCGCTCATACATTCTGACGACACAACCAACTAACTGTTTGTTATTGTCTTGATTTGAAGTTCAATAAAAAAAACCGTTTGGGCCTTCGAATAGGGAATTCATCGGTAGTTCTCGTCTCGAAAAAAATCTTATCAATCAATTGTTATATTATCCCTTATACAACTCCAATTCGATCCCGATTCCGAATCTCGATTCCTCGACATATCTTACCGAAAAAACATACCCATCTAAGCAATAACATATGAAATCAAACAAGAGCACAATGTTCAAATTCTGGACGGACAAGAAGGCCGGAACTAAGTAGTATGGGTATCCAATCTGTCACAGGAGACAAAGTTGCACAAAAAAGACGAATCCCTCAGAACCCACAGAGATTTTCAAAATAAATAAACGTTAAAGCCTCTTAGCGAAATATAAATATATATATATTTTATATACAGTGAAGTTTGCGGCGTCGTAGCAACTCAACACTTCAGTGAAGCAGTTTATACATATATGTGAAGGAATTGCCACAAAACGTTACACATTGTTTGCAATCCAAGTTTTAAACTCGAGAATCGATTTCAGTGCATCGGAATCGATTCCGCGAAGAATCGACTCTATAATCGAATCCGCCATCCCTAGTTGTAAACTCTCAACCAACCACAGAGTTTTGTGCTCCAAGTTACTTCCAAGTTCTTCTGTTATGTGGAATTCACTTCCTCGTTGCTGTTTTCCTGATCAGTATTGACAAGAAGTCTCGCGTCCTTGTTCATGAGAAAAATTCTCCCATCACGTTTTAAAATAACAAATTAGTAATTATATAGTTAGGGTCGGGTTAGTAATGATTTGAAACTTTGAATTTCCAGCGTATTCTTCAATCTGCATTTCTAACCCTCACCTTAACTGGACAATTACTAATTTTAATTAATTTGAGTGGTGGCGTTTTTTTTTAGTGGGGCTTTGTACAAAAGATCCCACTCAAGTATCTATGTTACTTCTAAAATGGCTATGCCCCGTATGAGGGACTCTAAAATGGCTATGTTTCTTTTCAAACAAAACTTTGGCTTTGAAAGGTCAACCCATCTAATAAGACTGTATTGCGTTTTTAGAAGTTATGAACTTACTATTGGTTTTTACTCTTAAAAAGCCCAAGCTCTATATAAAGTTTACCCTTTCCAAATAGATGATGGTGAAAATTTTGTGCTGATCCTAAGGAGGAGATATCATATATATATATATTTGAAAGTCTATGCCTTCCACTATACCTATTTCTGAAATCCTTCTTTTTTAAATATATAAGCAGCCTTAAAGATTTGTTCTACATTTCATAAAAGATTACACGCCTTTTGTGAAAAAATCAATTTATTCTCGTAAGCAGAGTGAATTTCTTAGAGAAGTCATTGTTTGCACCGGGATATTTTTGCTCCCACATATGTCAGCATCCTGATATAGATTGCACTCGTGGACATTTGCACGCATATATATGCATTTGGATCACGGTCAGTCAAATACATAACACATTTTACCACTTACAGCAAAATATATACGAGACCTATACACCCCCTGAAATGAAAAACTAGGGTCTCCCACTACAAATTTTTCTCACATCTGCAGTGTGTTTTTTGGTTAATTTTATTCACAACGTAAACCGAAAAGCATTGAAAATACGAAATAAAAAAGTCAACAACATTGTTCGGCAAATGAAAGCGGAATAAATACTGGAACGATTGTTGCATATAATATATTATGTACAAGGTGTTTTAATCAAAAATAATTGAAACTCATTGAAGAATGTAGCAGTTTGTTTGTATCAAATAAAACCGTTCTTCACCTACTTAAATAGTTTTTTGCATTCCCGTTACAATAAATGCGGGCCTGTTGCGACCAATGCAAAATGTGTATATATGATATTCTTTAATGACTCGAATATATTTTATCTTGTAGCTTATTCAATACCGTCGGCGCAGCTCTATAAGAAAAAGTATACCTTAGAGGGGGATTTGTACATCAAAATATTTGACTCGGCAGCATGTTTGTCTTTGCATGAGGTCTTCAATTTGCTCATTCTATTTGATAATGTCCGGTGCACTTCACTAAGCAATTGGGGGTTGCGCGTTGTTCGATAATGAAGAATCTTGTAATTGTGGATTCTTCATTTGCTGAAAGGTGATATCGTGTTAAATAGAACAGAGGCTAAGTTTTTTCTCGATTTTGTTTTATCTCTGCAAATATACATTTGTATACCACAAGGTCAAGTGTTAAGCCCTTGCCTTGTCACTTATCTTCTAGTTTCAACCCTCTCTGAAGTTCGACGTTCTTTCATTCATATCCCATTATCTCCTCTCCATACCATCTTGATCGGCTTTTGCATTCTTCGACTATAAATATGAATAAGCTTGCTTTTTTATCTGCAGTAGGACTCTTCTCTCATTTCTTCGCATGTTTCACAAGTCAGATTGCAGCACCAATGAAATTTACAATTGCATTTGATGCTTTTTAACACTGATTCTGTTTTGTAACCTCTGTTGCAGCACATATGTGAACAACCTTCGCTGTTAGTGCTCGTTGCGTTACACCATCTGCCTATTGTACCGAAAGATCCCTTTTTAAGGTTTTTCGTGCAAAAAGACGGGGCTTTCTTCAAATATACCAAATTCCTCGATGATAGTTTACTTCTTGACGACTTTGATGCGGCCTGAACACGGGACTTCTTGATTCGCACTCTAACGGCGGTAGAATAACGCTGAAATAGTTCGTGGCCTACTTTCCTCATTGGAGGCAATGATCTCCAACATATATTTTGAGTGCAGGTGCCAGTTAATCCATGACATCGACAGGTCGTTTTATTGTTCAAGCGAACTGCCTGAAAACAGAATAGAAAGATGATAGAAATAGGGAAGTACAACTGCAATTACAATGGAACCACAATAATTTCAAAGTGGGCAGATAAATTCTGATGTAATGGGGTTTGTCGGTTTATTGAAGTTCTGTTATACTTTTCAAAGAACATAAATAGAGTCTATACACGACTCCAGTTGGGTGTTTAAACATATTAAATAGCTGATGATAAATCTATTTATATTATTGAAAGACAAACGTAATCGATAAACGATATAAAACGCGGAGAAACCGCCATATTTGAAAGAGTTATTTTGTATATATACCTGATATTTGTACATTTGTAAACTAAATGTATTAGTTATGATATGTAACTTGAAAATATGGAACTGTATGTTGCTCACTGAGCCATGTTAAGTCTTTTATGTGTGACGGATCGGCGGTTGTCTCACTGTGCTGAGCGTTAGAAGCACGCTTGCCATCTCAACTCTGATCCTGCTTAGATTCTGCATCCATGAAGGATCGCGTGCAAAGTGATAACTAGTTGTTTCACGTAATTTTTTTTGTCTATCAACAATTCCCATATCCGATTTAAATCGTTATTTCGACGTTTCCGGGTATGAAAACTTCAAGTTATTTCTTAATGGTATCCTGTGTTTTCCCACACCTTGCCATTTTTAACCATTAGACGGCACTGTTCACTAAGATTGGTAGAGCATATATTTAGTTATATTTTTCCTAAATAACGCTATTCTTTTATCATAAAAACCTGTAGACACGTTCAAACTTGTTCTCAGAAACCTAATATATGATAAATGATATGAACATCAGTCGTTGCTAGATTCATTCTAATTTTGATTGATTTTTCACTTCCATAGTTTTATTGTACAAATTGCACAAAAATGAATATTGTTCTCCATTAGTAAATGGTATATGAAATTTTTTTACGTGAACACTTTTACGTTGCCTCTTTCTGTGATGTGTTTTAAATGTTGATTTTTCCTTTACGTGAACGCAATTTTAATTTCAGTTACTTCCACTGATTCTAGCGATTATCAACCGTGGCATATATAATTAGACTGTCGCAATTTTAGTTCTTACCAGTCGCGTCATTTTTAGAGTATAATTGCGAATTCACTATTGTTTTTTACGCTGTACTAAATTTCTATCAGAAATTGACATATTCACCTTTGTAATTGTGAAATCTCATGAAAAATATTAGCTGACCTGTCTTCCCGCATCGTTGTTGTGTAAATCCAGTAACTCAACCGCTGAAAGTTTTCGTTTCTTGTCGTCGAAAAAATCACGAGAAAATTGGTCGCCTATTCTCACGTCATCGGAACAGCCTCCCCACTCGAATTCCTTCTAGAATAAATATAATCAAATGTTGGATTGGCTGTTGTAAAATGTACAAAGATTTTGGAAATAAGTTAGGAATTCTGTAAATATTTGTTCAACCCAAGCCTCAAAACTAGTAAGTTTTAATCATAATATTACCTAACGAGTTTACACAATGATTAACAATGATCTTTTTGTCTGAATGATTTTAACACATATTGTCGATGTCTAAGGTCAGAACATTTTTATCTCACAGAACATCAATTAGTTCATACACGAATAATAAAGTACTGACATAAATATACACCAAACCAATTAATTACTTTAAGAGTGTTGTAATCGTAATTCAATGTATATACGTTTTCAAATCAACACAAAAAATATATAACCATTATCGATGACAGGAAGATTTTATGTGCGACGAATATAAATAGGCATTTTACTTTGCATCAGTTGAAAGATTCTGTTTTTATATTGTCAAGATGAACTGACAATTCGATCTTTTCTTTTTATAACCTTTGTTGAATTTCTGGAAAGGTCAATTCCATGTTTATATTTCCAAATGCCCTCATTTATTTCGCCTATTGTTACTAAGCCACTCGATTTGTATAACTGTTCATCAAAGAATTCGAAAATTTGCAACAGTGCATATTATAAGATCATATGGAGGCATTGATATAATCTCATTACAGGCGCCGAGATATTCATGCGAAAGTCGAAGAATGTATGGACAAATCCTTATTACAGAATATTGGCTTATTATGTAAATCCCCAATTTGTATGAAAGCGACCAGATGTTATGATTTGCGGTAGCTTTCAACTCTCACACACGCCAAGCTAGACACGTTCAATCGTTTATGGACAATTTTAAGCGACCAAAAATATTCTCATTAAATTCCCTGGAAAGTCGTGAACGACATATTTGGTCATTTTTCAAATATCTCTTGCAAATTGTAATTTTTTCGAAAAAAAAACCATTTACTTTGGGGATCTGCAGCAGTTTGTATTCTAGTAAACTCATTGACGATAATCGAGAAAACGTCCCTAAACTAATCGTGGGAACATTCATTTCGAAGCACTGCTGGAGCCACATGGGTTTCAGTAAGCCTAAATATTTGCGGTCAATATAATATCTACATGCGTATACACTTACCTTTATTAGTAAATTTAAATTTCTATTGCGAACTGTTAGTGTTGTAACAAGTTGCAAGAGACCGTGCAAGAGCAAAATCTTTATTTACCCAACCAAATTACCGAAAAATCTGGTAACTTTTAATTTATTTTAGATTACCGACTTTGCGTAACCAATAAACGTTTGGAGGTTCTTTTTTTGAACCAAATGTAGTACCCTTGGTCTCTTACTTATTGGAACATCCGTATAAAAATAAATATATATAAAAAGCACTTCGTATGATTTGCATGAATATGGGCATATTCTACACCAGAAGCGATAAAACAATTAGTGAGTCACTACTGGATCTTACTCTTAGACAAACACGATCAATTCGTTCGCGTTCATAATTTCAAATACCCGATCGCTTCTATCCGAGAAAAATACGCTTTTATCTGTCGATATTTATATTAATTCAATATGCTTTCAAAATTGAACTTATGTGCTTACTGAATGGATTATTTGTTTAATGCTATACTTAGTATAGTATACTACGTACCTGTCGAGAATCTCGATCGGCCTTTCGTCTTATGGGGGCACACATACATTCTTCTGGTAAATCTCCTCCAGAACAAGCTCTTGTGATTGTATAGGAGACGGCGGCCGACAATATGGCTTTGATATAAGCTCTTTCTGGTCCCTCTGAAAACGAGAATAAAATATTTTATAAAACATTTATTATTTATCTAGCACCCTAAGTCTATAATAATTTTTGTTTATTTTTTACCACACTTTTATTTTGATTTATTTTTTTGCAAAAGACTTTCAATTTGTTAAACAACAATTTGGAATATTTGGTAATTGATTCTACCAATAAAGCTAGAATTTTCGTTATGATCTGCGTTTGCTTCTGATGCGTGAATAGACGAGATTTATGTATTAATAGTGGCCCAACTTCCATGTGTGATGTCAGAGTATAGACGTTGTTGAAGAATCGCGATATTATACGTATTTGATTTATTGTTTTTTGTACTCGTCAAAAGGGGTGCATGTCGCACATTTGTGTTTTTGACCAGTATGGTCTTGTGCATACATCTAGTCTTCAATATTTATAACTGTCAACTCTTTTCTATTGCTTTTACGAGACGAATAAAACATATATACATACCTCGTACTATAATATAAGACGCGCATTTGTGTGGTGAGGATTTCAACCAAGTTTTGGTTATCAAATAATGAATTCCTCACGTTTCGACTGGTTATAACGGCATATGAAACCAATAACATGGGCTGGCTAATCGACTCACGTAAATGTGGCGCGAGGGGCGTGAAAATCGTGTTACGGCGTCGATCAATCGCCGGTAGTCGGCAAATTTCTCGACAGCGGGCATTATATTGGCAAACGACAGATCAAGGGCGTGGAACCGGCATCAAATAAAGGAAAGCTGTCTGGTTAGACACTTTTATAATTCGCGTGACAACGAAATGAAACTTTCCCTTTTGTCTGCCAAAAATGACTTCCGTCTGTACATCCAGTCATAGTCATCCCGGGCGCACGTACGTGGGAGGCCATATAGACAATTGAAAGACGTTACGATTTGAATATATGTACATGGCTTTAACTCCTGAATGCATTATGTAGTCGCACCCAATTTCTTGAAAAGACAAATTGACTAATTGACGTGCTACACGACTTTACATTCTCCATGCATTTCAGGGTTATTGATGATGAGCCGAAGTAACTTAAATTCTTAGAACGCTTTTGACAAAATCATACGATTTTTTTCAAAATTATCTTTGGCGTCGTTTTAACAAAACGGATGTGGCTTGCTCATAATTGTATTGAGTTTTTTCAAAGCCTCAGTTTCCGATTAAAACGCAAGGTTATGCGTCAATTAGCTTTCTGTCTCAATTTCGTTTTTTACAGTTGAACTACTTTACTTGATAGATCACATAGTTGATGAAAAGCAAGACTTATAAGGCAATAATTTTAGCATTTCACGCCAAATAACAAGGTTATCATGTTAATGGACTTCAGGAATGACAGCAGTTTAGGAATTCTTTGTTTTCAACCATTTTATGACGGGTCATCAACCGGTACTGATTTTATCTGTATCATTCAGCACGTGATGCTTGGGAATCGTTCAAATACTTGATGAACCGTTGAAATGGGGGCGTGATATTTTGCCGCAAATCCTAGCCGAAACCTTGTCGGCCGTCAGCTGAGCAAAGGTGTTTACTAGCCCCTGATGGGTTTCGTTCCGCCCTCAAACTGCTCCATCGAGTTCCCAACGACCCGTTAAAATCGCAAGAAAAATCATTAAGCACGTGCTGCCACGGACTGAAAATATATTCCAACGAACAGAACTAGAACAACAACGGCCCATTGGCGGAATGTATTACTAGAGACCTTCCATATTTGGAAGATGATGTTATAATAAAAAAGGTGCTTGGATAACGATTACCATACACAGTCAATGATGCACACAATATATTACATCTAAGATGGTCTTTGACAATATTAACAACAAGAAAACATCCGATATTTGGACGATGATTTGCACGGGCGATTATCCTACTTGAATGTTGAGGACATAACAACTATACAAGAAGAAGATGTATTGCATTTTGGACTCAAATGCAGCGGCTTTCGCTGCTGCCAAAGCACATGGAATTACAATATATATATAGGGTGGAATGATGGGGCTATAATAGGTTAACTAATGTAACGACAATGCTTCTAATCTTTTTTGATTGGAGTCATGATGTTCTATAGATAAATTCTTCTGCAATGATTGTCCTGAGAACTTTTCAACTTAAATATATTTAAAAAATATAATTGCCCCTGGCAAAACATACGGGCGTAACAACAATTATTGGCAAGGAAAAATAGCAGTCGAGAAAATATGAACCAAATCCGCAGTTCGCATCTGTGTTTATATTCACCAAATCAATGCGATGCATTTGATAGCGATTTGAAACGCGATACCTTTTTAATCTCGCATAATATTGCGTTCCAGCAACCACATCGATTGTCTATGTTTTCCACTTAAAATTCAATACGTAATTGATATCGTTAATGTTGGAAGAGGTACTTTACTGAAAAAAGTCATTTGGTATGATTGCACAAATCTTGATCTATTTCGAAATCTGTCCCGAGTACGTGTGATTGCATATTATTCAAATTAATATCAAAGAAAATCACTGCGTCTATTTTTGCGTTGTTTACGTTTACTTTATAAAGTTTTGACATTTTAACGAGACATTCTAAAAATGCTCGCCCTAATCTGATTCATGCAAGCAAATGCGATATGGGGTTTCGACACAATCAACACTTGCCTGGCTATGAACCCTTTATACAAAACCTCTCCAAAAATGTTTAATGTGGCTCATAAACTCAATCATCAACGACTGTATATTTCAATTCATATTCAAAGGTTGGCGAAAGAATTGAAGTCGCTCGCGTGTTTCTGGAACATTACGGTGGCAAATCTTAAGCTTAAATATCCATTGTAATCGGATCGTTTCCTGGTGTAAATAGTCTGTTTCGGGTCAATAGTTGTAGTGCTTTAATTTCGTGTTTAAAAATTTATTCTCTATTTTCTAATCGAAGTTTGACCGTCGTTCAGTCGAGTGATACACACTCACCCCCAACATGTACATTGTGACCTTGAGACAGTTCCCACCGATTCGCACAATTTGTACATCACGTGGGTCAAAACATCAGCTAATAGTAGGGATATTGTTACTATTACAATATATGTTTTGCGCTATAAGCATCGTGGCCTTTGGTATTCGCTGCTGCAAAGTCATCAATTCGAGTAAAATACAAGCTAACTTAAATGCAAAATCTCCGCAAATTGTAGTCGGTTATAGTTTGTAGACATAAGTCCAAATTTTCCATGTTACAAATAATTTTTTTTGCAAACGACATGTGGAAAATAGTCATTTCATTTCATCCTGCCAACTTTTGTGTTTATACAGTATTTCGTCAACGGTATTCACAGATTCCAAACAGTCTCCATTTTATACATCAAGGTTCAAAAAACCAAATGAAATATCAACAAAAACATTTTTGTATCAACATAAATTACCAAAGTGCAGATATTTGTCGTTGTTTCTTCCATAGATCATTGCTTGTGATAAAATATTTGTGCTGTTGTTTGCATTCATCCGAGAAGATCTAATTTTACTCGACAGAAAAAACACAAACATTTTTCCGACCGAAAGGTGAAGCCAAAACAGAGAAATATCGAATCAACCGAATTCCAATTGAGTGACAGATTTTTTTTATCGCAGACAGTCTACCACGGCCGAGTTCGTCCAGTTCTTATTAGTCATAAAATTGTTGAAAATTAAAACTTCCGTTGAAACAACGAGGTCGTAGGACATCCATTACTACAAAATTATGTCGATAAATATGGGTTCGAAAGTTTGGGTTAACTCTATTTCATTTTGTAACAAAGAAAGTACAAATAGCTTAATTCATATAAAAGATAGTTCTTGCAACTCTTTTCAGCAAAAAGCATGTCTCTGACTCATCATTAAATTTATGACGTAGGCTACGTGTTTTCGAATTTTAAACACATTGAACTGTTTGTAGTAGCGATTCATTTGTTAAAAGTCTAAATAACACAATTGTATTCTATTTAGTTTTATACTTCATAACATTTTGCGTACAGCTGAGAACGTGATGATGTTGCAGTGAGACGCCATACACGATTTATATAATTTCAGTATAACCTCTGAGTACCCCAAAACAGTCCACAGCTGGGATTATGGAACTCTTTCAATTAAACAATCAGATATATATGTCAAACGATTCTAGCTTTAGTTCAATATAGAAAACTAAACCAAAATAGTTCTGATTCGTCTAGGACATTCCAGTTTACACATTAAAAATCAGCCCGCGGATCCGCAGTCACCCAATAAATCTTGAATTTTGTTTAAATTTTTTGTTAAGTGTTGTACACCGTCGCTGTGAATAAAGAGATTTGGCTAGCTGCCATAGTTCACTATATTCGGGATCTTACTGGCCAGGCAACTTACTAAATATATTACACCTTGAATACAGATTTCGATTCAATGTTATTAAAATGATATCAAACCAATATATTAGAATACACAATTTATAACTTGTATCACAATTAAGCGCTGCTATATCACAAAAACGGTCCAGGAAAATGATTGGCAATATAGTGATTAGTAACGCAAACGCTGTTTGATTCAAAATGTAATGATTTTTCGGACTCAGAATATCAAAGTCACATATCATAGTTTACCATTCCTGTACGGTACATTGCGGTAAATGCGAGAATTTTTATGTTTGGTCTCGGTTCCCTGGTGATCAAACAGGCGCCGCAATACCTCGGTATTTGACAAAAACTTTCCGACAATGTTCCGGTAAGATTCGCATAGTTATAGTTCAACACCTGTTCAGAAATTCGACTTAGTGATTGGTATGTTTCATAGATCAAACTTCATCGGTGGATGAATCTCCTTACGTACCACAAGGAATTAGTAGCCCGTGTATGGCTGACAGGCCATATTTGAGGTTCACAAAATGTTTAACCAAAATGCCAGTGATCAAAATTTTGAAGTTTGAGGTTATAAGTCGCGTGCCGAAAACTCTTTAACTTAGTGAATTCGAGATTGGTGGAATTGTGTAATTTAGTTTATTCAATTTGTGTTCCGAGAGAACTTAAGCTTGCATATGCTTATGGTGAAAATGTAAAATTTAGGTAAACTAAAAGTGGCCATTGTTCAGCTGTTAAATTGTCGCAAGTCGCTAAGATGCTTTTTTTCAACTCCAATATTTAAATCGCAACATTTTAAAAAATGATTCGACTGTTTTGTACATATATATATATATTTATATATAGTTTCACATATAAAAGAGATAATGCATTTCACTTTGTTATTATTCAACAATGATTCGGTTCAAGGGAAAATATGGAATGAAAAAGTAAAGTGAAACCTGAAATGATCCTCATTCACTGTATCTAGACCTGTTATAGATAAGGATATTCAATGTAACAAATCACTGCCACTTATCTCTAAACTAATTTCATGAAACAAAAATATCCTGGAAACATGTGAATTTGGGCTATAAATGCACCTCTGGTACTCAGTCTTGAGATGCCACCAATCTAGATGAACCATGTTTCAGTAGCGTCGCTTTAACTTGTACCAACAGGCAGCCAAATGATTGTATTTGGTGAAATAAAAAAATTGTAAATGTAAATACTTGTATTTTTGTGAGATGTATTTTTTTTCAGCATTACTAGTAAATTGCAAGTGAACATTACTTGACATAATAAACTTTACTTACTATTTCGCAAAACTGGATCAAAAATATGTTGCTTTGGTTTTGTTGAAGGATATTGCGTACAATTCCATCTTTGATTTTGAAATTGGTATTCACATTCCCTTATTCCCACCTTTACTCCATCGCTTATCTTGCTCATAATGGTTGGATGATAAATACATAATTGTTTTTGTTTTTCTGACAAAAATTTTAATGAATTGCAGTATGCTTTTGCACCTTTTGTGTTGCGTGTTTGCTGCGTCGGCTGTGGGGCTGGTACCGTCAGTAACCTGAAAGAAAACGTTTTTATTTGATATGTATTCTGAATTGATGGAGTAAATATATAGGCAACAGAAGAGGTCTTCGTATTAGTTCGTATTGTATGTGATAAATCTGGCTAAAACATCTCTAGATTTAAACCGGGTGGATTAGTGATAAACATCGAAACTATCTTATCCAACGGGCATCTCTGAACTCTAGTTATGCTGAACTAAATTTGTAGACTTCAAAACCAAATTTGAAAGAAATTGAGTAAATTTTTAGCAAAATATTTGGTTATGTTACTAATTCTAAATATCCCACAACAAACCCAAAGTGTAAGACATCATTTGGCAATATTAGCACAAAATTAATACCGCTGGTACCGGTACCGCAGTCTTCAGAATGGATGCGGAAATGAATGCTAACTTGGATGCGGAACCGCCACAAGGTGCCATAGAGCCCACAGAAAAGCGACAACAACATAATAACAAAACGATCCATAGGTACGTTTCGTGTCTAATAGAGTCTTCCCACATCACTGTCATATGCGTCCATGCATAAGGGAATGAAATTCACTCCACATCAAAGTTACAATCTAAGATATGCTGAGAATTTATCCAATATAAGGTGACGCCGACAAAGTGCGGCTAACGCGAGATTTGTCGGAAAGCTGATATTGAAAATGAGCGTTTTGTCGGAAATGTCGTCAAGAACGTAACAAAGTATTATTAAACTGTAAAAATTACGTATTTAACAAATCTCGTTTGAACACGCATGAACACAAATATGATGAGCTTTTCAACACTGTGCCCACTAACGGAATTTTTACCAATGGCATTCTCTTAATAAACACATATATATAATAAATGGGGTGTTGTGTTACTCGAGCTCTTAATGACTATGTCTAAGTTTAGCTCTAGTGGCTTGGAAGCCTAATTTACTTTTGCTATTTTAATAGAAATAGCTCTACGTGGGTTAACCACAACGCTGGATAAAATGACAAACTTGAACTATCTTTAACCATATGTTTTCAATCATAATATATTACGTCTTCGATAGTTTTCGGTTTCACAATCGAAAATAAATTCCGCGTTCCTCATTTTTGCACACGGGAATGGTTTCAGAAACAACAGAATTTTTGAAAATCATCTGAAATTGATACCATTTTATTGTTATGTTATAATATATTAACAATGCTACATACAATCATGTATCAAAGTCTTCTTTTTTTGGCATTGATTAACTAATTCATCATACAGCCTAAATAAAAGAGATATAAGCATCTTGCGTTAACAACTGAATTGAATTTCAGCGTTTGTATTAATTAAAATTTGATATGTGTTTCGGGTACTGAGCATATGAAGTAGAATTTGTTGCAAAACTGATGATTTGAAAGAAATCGGAAAACATATATGTCCGCATGAATTTGCAAAAAAACACATTGCGCATACCTAAGTCTTCAAATAACAAAAACATAGAAGTTCAAAATTTAATTAAAGAACTAGTGAACAAAAATATGATCGATTAAGCACGTAATCTTCTTAGTAGTGATTTTCAAGCATGATTAAATGTTGTTTTGTGTTTGCCCAACTCAAAACATCTGTAACTTTTCTAACGTTGAAAGTGTCAACTTCTGAAATTGTGATATCTCGGTTTCCTATATCCTACTGTTTATACTCAACGGGTCTTTTCATAACCCTTTTGCCATATAAACCTCTATTATACCGGTGTTTTGTACATTCTCTAAGATATATAACTACAAAAGTAGGAAGATCCCAACGCGAGGTTATGATTATACGGAAAACATTAGCTTTTGCGAACGCGGTTTTCGGCGTGAAGCACCATTGTTATTGGTGCTGCATCCAACTTATGAGTGGTAACGTTCAAGGACGTTTAATTAAGACCTCGTGGAACATCACACGCGCAATATGTAGAAGAAGTGGTAATTTGGTGTCAAAAAGTAAGAAAGCTTTCATGTTCGATTTTTAGGAATTACATTATATTTTGTATCACTATTTAAAGATAATATCTATTCTGATTTTTAAAATTTCTCGTAATCATTAAGCTATTTATCTAATAGCTCACTGTTATCTATCATCTACACCAGGATTCAAAATAATTACATTTAACAGAATTCTATCATAACCTTCATTTATTATCAGAATCCTCCTTCACCGTTTTTTGGCAACAAAATATTTATTAAAGAGAAATAAAAATTGAAGAAAAGAGGGGAAATTATTTATTCACTTCTGAAAATTATTTGCTTCCGTTAAAATGATAATAAAATTTAAGTTGAATGGCAAAAATAAATATCGCTTTTAGCAAAACGAATTGAATCACCGAAGGATCTTTTAGGAATTTTTTGAAAAATAGCTGAAACTATAAACGACGATGGTTTCATTTCTATGGATGTCGGCATATATACGGATTATCTAATAGTAATAATTCGATAGCTTGGATAAATGACGGAAATCTTTTTCGCGTAGTTTAAAATTTGCTCAATTCGAGAAGGATTAATTTTATACAATGGCGTCATAACGTTTGCATTATGTTACCTTGTCGGTACCTCTCTTTATTTGAATGTCAGTGGGGGATGGGAAAATTTTGCTGACGTTAGAGATAAATCAAGTCCAGGAGTGATTGTTATTTGCATTATCGATCATAATTTTTGTGGGCAAACGTCGATTTCAATAAAATTGTCAGAATCAGGTGGGGTGATATAAACAACAAATTTTCGCATCACTTGGTATTTACACACATTAATACTTGGTAAATATAATTATTTGTTCTTCATAGGTCAAAGGTCAATAAAAATTATTATTCACCGAATATCATATAACGTACGTTTCTATATCCTTAATATTAAACAAGCATGGCGTAATGATTTTCAATCTAAAATATGCATGGTCATTATACGATTATGGTAAAATTGTGTCCTGGCTGAGAATGTTTGACCAAGTCAACAAAGTCTTTGTTGTGATCGAGACGGTATTGTTGCCGTGTGAATCGCTTCGGATTTCCGAAAATTGCCATTTTCGCTTTCCGTGTCACCAAGTTCATTGCCCCTATGTTTTGAGCTGACACAAAGAGAGTCGCGGAATTTGGTCTGAATGTCTAGTTTGCAGTAGGCCCAAGATGCAATGAAGCTTTTCGATCGTCACCAATTTGATTTGGACTTGTGAAAACAATGCACATTGAATGATATTGCAATAATTTGTGTGCTTAAATCTTTATTTGTGTTGGCTTTATGGAAATCTACTAGAGATAAGAGTAAAAGACGCGAAGTGATCATAAACCTTTTGTTCTTTTAATTAGGTTTGCATTCATATATGTTTGATATTATTATTTTATTAATGCTTCATATCTGTCCTAACTCAAAACATATCATTGAATCTTATTTCCCTCCATGTACCGCTGTTCCAATATGTTGGCACATGAAGGACCACTGTCTCCATCCGATACCGCGCTTGACCATATGCAAAAATAAATTTCAGACGATGTGTTTGATTACTTTAATAATAATATTATTACTGAAAACAATATACAACGTTTTAAATATTTATTGCTATTAATATTGCCATCGCCACATTCATTTTGCGAAGCCCAGAGACGTAAATCTTGATGCCAATGAGTTCATTCGCATTATCGCTGTTTGTTTCAACACAACGACAACTTACTTTGTTGCTATTTAAAAATCAAGGAAATTGCTTCGAAAGACAATTAAAGTAGCAACTGGATTCGTTTATTGCTTCTATATTGCCATCGCCACATTCATTTTGCGAAGCCCAGAGACGTAAATCTTGATGCCAATGAGTTCATTCGCATTATCGCTGTTTGTTTCAACACAACGACAACTTACTTTGTTGCTATTTAAAAATCAAGGAAATTGCTTCGAAAGACAATTAAAGTAGCAACTGGATTCGTTTATTGCTTCTATACCAACATGGTGAGACCAAATGCTTCCTGTAGCGCATCCCAAAGTGTCATACTTTGGCGTTGGGTCGTGATTAATTACTTTTGATATATTCCGCCAAAAATCATCAAAGATTCTTATAAGTTCTATCATTTTGTGAAATTATTAACAATCATACATGAAGGTTGTCTACAACAGGTGGAGAATAAAGTACCACGCTTGTTCGACGATAAATCAAGGTATATAAATCATGATTTGCAGACTTGATTATTTCTGTGACGATTTATAGCTTATATTACACACGACCTTTTTAATTCAACACAGTGGTCCAAGATATGACAAGCTACCGTAAAAGAGCTAAAAAATTTACGACTCAAATATAAATTCGAATATATATTCCCATTCTAAGTATACAAAGTATGATATTGGTGTTAGTTATTCTATAGAATTGCGCATATAAAATAACGTATTGGCGCATGTTCAGCATACATGGGATTTTGACTCATACCTATTGCCAGATGTGTCTATATATATTAGCCCCTTACCCATTTAAAATGAAAATTAAATTCTCCTTTGATTTTGACAATGATTTCTAATTTATGGTATTTTACAGGTGTTAAAAGAATCAAGGTCACTTAAAACTCATTAGATTGTCGTTTACTGTTATATTAAACATAAAACACGCATTGGAATTTTTAAAGTGATTCAAACTAACATTTATTGGAGTTGAATTTAAAAAGTTTTGGATTAATCATCTTATTTCATTGTTGTAATACTACATTGAAATTGTTAATTGCTACAAAGTATGAGCTGCCGGATGATTAAATTCTGAAGCACTCTCAAATTTTACACTATAAAATACGAAGTTTAACAAGTATACTCAGAAAATTTATGAGTTTGTAATCTTGGAATGTCTACCATTTTGTAGAAAGAATAAACATTTCCCCTAAAAATGAATGGAAGGATTTTTATAACCGCACAACGTATCGTTTCACGAAAGTTATGTAATCACTTTTTTAAAAAATTAATATTTTAGTAAAAATTTATCATACATAGATCATAATTGAAACATTCCTGTATTCATAGTCCATATTTGACCGTATTATACAAAATAAT